TCTGATCATCTGACTGAGCAAACTTTTGAGAAAAGTCTTGAAACTTGACATGGGGGTTCTTATACACATATAAGATGTTATGAAGCTCCCTTGAAGTCTTGGAAGTCCATTTAGCCTGATTAAAGTCAAAACCCTAGTTTTGGATGCACTGCTTAGGAGGTGCATTGTCTGAGGGAATTGTCAACTCTTCTGACCAATTGTGAACTTTGTGAACCTTGTGAACCTTCAAGAAGCAACCTATGGACTTCATGAACCTCATGAAAGGTCTTGTAGATGTGGAGAAGTTTGTGAACCTTGTGAACCTTCAAGAAGCAACCTATGGGCTTCATGAACCTCATGAAAGGTATTGAAAGCACTGTGGGACTTGTGAACCTTGTGAACCTTCATAAAGTAGCTTGTGGACTTTATGAACTTCATGAAAGGTTATGCAAGTTGTTGGAGAACTTGTGAACCTTGTGAACCTTCTTAGAACACAAAGTCTTGTATTGTGAGGGCAAATTTTGGGGTGCAACAGGGGCCAACACGGTCGCCCGTGTTGGCTTGGGCGTGTCTTTTTCCACTCTTTGTCTGTTTTGACTAATTTTGACCCCGGAGGGCATTTTTGGAATTTCCTGGCTTGTCTATTGAATCTATTAGTATTTGAAACACATTTGGAAAGGAAAGAATGGACAATTTGGATCGTGAAAGAAAGAACACCATAAGATACGATTGAGAGCTCAGGAGAAAAGGGAGAACGAGAGATTTTCAAAGGCAAAAGCAATTGAAGATCAAAAGTAATCCCCATTTTCTACTGTAATGTTGTATCTAATTGTTCGATTTACTTTATTGACTATGAGTAGCTAAACCCCCCAATACTAGGGGGTGTCCCTGAATTGTTATTGTAATGACATCATCTTCTTTATTTTTATAATATAAACACTTATTTTATTAATCAAGTTTTATCGATCAATAATTTTATTACTTTTTCAATCGGAAAAATTGATATAGTTTTACAGTTAACTTTAGGTCAGACAAACCATTGTTAATACAATTTGACCGATAATTCCTCAGTAGATAATGCCTAGGACTAGGGTTACCCTGTTGTGCACTTGATTACTGCTGAAACTATTTTTAATGCTTGATTTCAAATTAGTTTGCCTATGGACATAGTAAATTGATTATGATTTCAAAGGTTTTCTCACTAAAATCAGTCAAGAACTTGATAAAAAAAACTGTGTTTATGTTATGAAATAAGGGTTGATATTCTTGCAAGAGAATTCATACACTGCCCCTAGCATGCTCTCATATCTTGTTGAACTTTGTTCGTTATTTTGCTTTATTCTAAATATTTTGTTTAAAATTAGTGAAACCAATTTTACAAACCCTCAATTGACTTTTGGTTGATTAAACCTAAATTAAGCTTATATTGCCTAACGTAGTCCTCGAGATCGATACTGGGGATAATCCCCCTATTTTAACTACAATTGGAAAAATAGTACATTTGTTATTTTACCGATCAGGCGTGGAAGAGGAAAGGCTTACGCCCATGCAAGACTTGAAGGAATTACATATAGGTCTTCACGCCCATCAAGTTACAAATATAGGCATTTCCTTGTTTGTAAGGGAGTAACGAGAACAAGTCGATCGACTCAGAAATAAGGTTGACCTGTTCACATGGGCCCCTTCAAACATACTAGGTATAGACACAAAAGTGATAAGTTATCGCCTTGCCATCCGTCCCTCCGCCAGACCCGTAACACATAAGAAATGAAAAGTAGGCGAGGAAAGGAGGATCGCTCTCAATGAAGAGGTGAAAAAACTATCCAATGTCAAATTCATTACTGAAACAAAACATCCCATCTGGCTAGCCAGCGTAGTTCTGATACAAAAGGCAAAAAATAGATGGCACATATGTGTAGATTTCACATATTTGAACGTCGCTTGTTAAAGGTGTTATTAATACATTATAACACAATAAATAAGGGATCAAAGCAGAAGGTTTCTTTCATACCATAAATCTTACCCATGTACTTATTTACCTCATCACCGTTTTCTCGGTCATAGGTAATTAAAGTACGAGAGTTTTGGAGTTGGAAGCAGCTCAAAATCTAGATCACCTCTTATTTAACGGAGAACAGGCGTTGAAGTTAGTCCCTTTAATAAGTTGAAGATCTGTTGTCCATGATACACGGAAGCGAATATCACATATTGCCCATGTGGTTACCATAGAGGAGTTGTCTCACCCTCTGACTCGCATGTACTTATCTATCTAATCTTTGTAAGGTTCTGCATAAAGTTCACACAAAGGCATACTTGATAAAGCGTGCCAATTTATCTAGCCATAATTGTGTATGATCTCTATGTTAAAGAAGGAAAGGAATACCCAAACACTAGGGGGAACACCCAAGTTACAACATATTATGTGGAAAGCGCTAAGAATGCTATATATGTTGGGTGTGATCTAGGAAGGGTGGTATTAATGATCACCAAAAAGTCTGCCTCAAAAGGTGTTAAAGGAATAAGAACCCCTGGCTCGTGGATAACAAGAAGATGAAAGTAAAATTAAGATGTATATGAACCGCCTGTGGTGGCCATGTTGGCTCTTTCCATTTTTGAACAGGGTTCCAGAACTACATCCTCTTTGTGCCCTATGCTAAAAATATAATACCATAAAGAAGCCTTTTAATCATGTCAGAACTTGAATATAAAGATGCAGTGTCTCAAACATGAGCATTTTTGGCTTTCTTCCTAGCCATCAGTTTTCAACCAAATGGAAGGGGCTAAAAAATTGTAGTGTTTGTGCCCTTGGCAGAAGGACAGACCTTTTAATCCCTTTTTCCTATCCAAAACTTTTATCTGTCTGTAAATTTTCCCCGAGGAAACAAAATGGAAGTTCTAAAAGGAAAGGAAAAAGATAAGGCTTTCCTGGAAATTAAATTAAGGCCTTTTATAGAAATGAAAAGATCAATATCACAAGCAACATACTTGTTTGATGGAGTAATTCTTGCAGGAAATGAAAAAGATTTGACGCGTTAGGGACATGTAACGCCCCAGACTGCTTTTAGGATTACCAATTGACCCCACAAACCAACACGAGTCTTTTCAGCATGCTTTTTCCTCACTCACATGCTTTTTGGGAAACTTCCCAGAAGGTCACTCATCCTAAGATTTCTCCAAGTCAAGCACACTTAACTATGGAGTTCTTATGGAACAGACTACCAAAAATAAGATGCATGTTGTTGGTATAGGTAGTACCAATTAATCCTTATAAGCATTCCTTCAACCATGCAAAACCATACCTGCACAGTCTCAGGATCCCTTTTATTCTAATGTGAATTCAGTTTTTCCCTAGAAGCTGCTAGGAGTGTCTCATTGTCAAGCATCATGCACCGACAATCACTCATTCGCCAAGCTTCTATGAGTGTCTCATTATCATGCCGCGTGCACCGACAACCACTCTCTCACCCTCGGGTGTTACAGGACACATGTAAGAAAAGAGATTAAGATGGTTTTCCCAAAAAAAATCATCATGAGTTGCATTAAATGTCACACACGTTCCTTTTCCACTAGAAGATTAAGCTTTCGTAATTTACTGACGTTTTGACGTAACTAGGGTCATTCGATTGAAATTTGACATACAAGCACCTCAATAGGCACTTAGAAAATGGGAGATGACTCACCATTAATTGAGTGATTCGCCTCCAACTAAGGGATTCACTCTTAATTGAGGGACTCGCCCCCGAACTAAGAGACTCGCCTCTAATTGGGGGACTCGTCACTAACCATAAAGCTTAACCAAAGTAAAGGAGAAAGTTAAAACACTTCACCCTTTACAAGCCCTCGTGTTTGAGGGATTGTGTAGTGATATATTTGTAAGGACTCCTAAATGAGATGACATATGTCAAGGTATATCCCTCAAGTGACAGGGGGCTCATCCAAGGGGAAACGTGGACAATAATGGTCATTTTAAGCCATAGTTGCATGCGCAGAGTCGTGCTCATAACACCCGAGAAAATACGTAGTCAACAACTCCCCTAGTCAAGAGTGAGTGATTATCACTTATTAGGAGTTCCCTGAACCATAAGCTTACAACTCCCTATAAATACCTCAACCTTAGCATTGAGTGAGACAGATCCTAATACAAACGATATACCCCCTAAAGCTACAAAGCTTCTCACCTCACGTGAGTTTGCTCTCTCATCACCGCAAACACCATCAAATAAGATCTCTCACCACTGTGAGCAAACCCTAACCAACATAAGACTCAAAGGCCTATGGTCACCCTTACAAGCATAGGGATGTAACACATTTTATATTTTTGACAAGTACATAAATAATCTTTAAAAAATGGTGACAACTTCTCTATTCATCTCTAAAAGTTTGATAGTGTATTTACAACCAATCACTTAATGTCATTTAATTTTAGAGAAATGCTAACGAGTACCCCTGAAGCACTTGTTAAGAGTTTAAAAAGACATATTTAATTTAAAAATACTTGTATTTAATGTATTGGAAATTAAAACGATTGACATTTTTTAAGAATAAAATGTATGTTTTGTTATAAAAGACTTGTATTTAATGTCATGTTTTTTTTATTTAGAATGCTTAAAGAATGTCCTTGAAGCACTCATGACCCTTAATTTTATTATATTTAACTATTTATTAAAGTGTTTAAATTTAAGAAGTTCTTAAGATAATTTACTCTACGGCAATCCTACCTTTTTTTTCTTTGTGATAAGTAGATTAGAATAAATAAAATAAAAAGTGAATAATAGATGTCCTTATAGAGAAAAAAAAAGATTGTAGGTTGTCGTAAATTAGAAGAAAGGGTGAGAAATTGGTTCCATCACTCCAAGTCATAATGATATAAAATAGAGTAGTAACGTGCGGGAATAAGCAAACCAAACTTCAAGTCAATTGATTGGATAATGAACAAAATAAAACAGGAATAGAAAAACAGCAAATGGCAGATGAATATTCTGCGAGTCTATGAAGAAAGTAATTACAGTAGAATATACAAACTATTTGGGTGCAGCTGTAAGAGGGTAGCCAATTCCATGCCTGGTGGATGGAAATACAAGAAATAGCAAACTGCATAGAGTTCCAATTCCAAGAGGAACGATATCCAGAACCTCCTTTGTTTCATCTCCTGGTTTCGGGTAAAAACAGTGCAACACATTCTGATCACTCAACGCAACTGCAAAGAAGACAAGTACAGATAAAAAGGCATGAACAAAGTCTATGGTGCTAATCTTATACTCTGTCAAATCTGGTAACTTTTTTCCATCAACCGGTGAGTAGTCAAATAGCCAGAGACCCTTGAAGGTTGCTATGCCATGGTAGATTCTTCCGTCTAATGACTTGACTGTGTCAGTGAAACATGCGAGGATGCAAGAGAAGGCTAGCAAGATGAGGAGTACGAGTGTGAGGATGCGTGTGACGGAGTCACAAGCTCCTTTGTTTGTGAACACCGGAATCAGAATCTGCAAAGCCAGAAGGGTTCCAGTTGGAAGCAGTTTTGCCAAGTTGGCTGTCCCGGTCAGAGCCCCAGACAGTGCCCGGCTCGATAAGGAAGATGAAGAAGAGGAGCTACTGATTTCACGTGTGGCCTTGGATGATGATCCATCTGCAGCGGCACCAGAGAGGGGGGTGTTATTATCATCTGATTCTTCAGATTGCTTATCGGATCGACGTTGTCTAAGAGACATGTTGAGGATATTATATTAATGCAAAGTAATTGATCGGTTCATGCATAAAGAGATGGATCATCTTCTATTTATATCATATATTGATGAATAGTTTGCTTGTCTTGTTAGTTTTTCTTGCTTCCACGTTCCTTCCATGCAACCTTCACCAGCTAACCATTTGGTCGGTTTGTTGACAACGGTTTACGTGTAACGTGTAAACTCAACGCAACTATAACTATTTTATTTTTTTAATATAGTCCACGACCATATATATTATAACGTCATATTAAAACAAGGTCGTATTAAAATGGCTGGGTTAATTTCCTCCAATTGAGGTGTCATCCCTGTCTCATCAAATTATGTCACCACTGTTTAATTATCATGCAAAACATTATAGAAATTATCTAATCAATCTATCAGCCCAAAATATTCGGTTGGTCAAACTTATCTCACAAGTCTATGTTATATCAACTTTGGTTTTCAACTATTTTTGAGTTTTGATGAGAATAAAATGTATAGAACAATTTTATACTTTAACTATTTTATTAAGTGTGCAAAAAATAAAAAAATTGATTCTGATTTTAAAGACGTTCAGACTATGAACCAAAGGATAAATTAAATTAAAAGCGTGTTTGCAAAGAAGTCAAACATCTGATTTGATAAGTCAATATTTTTGAACTAAAACCATCCAATAGATTCTGATATAAATTATGACTACCAACTTCGAAAAGTCTTAGAACTATGAAGTCTCACCAAATTCTAAAGACAAATTTTAAACTCTCACTACAACATTTTGAATATACAGCAACACAAAAAAACCGTTGCAAAATCCAAAAAAACCGTTGCCTTTACATATGAGAACGGTTTTCAGGGCGTTCTAAACCAAGGCGTTGTTTTAGCCTTTGGGAACGGTTATTTAGCCAACGGCAACGCCTTGTTCAGAGCCGTTGATGTAATTTTATATAGAGAACGGCCTAGAACAGCAACAGCTGGAGGCCGTTTTCAAATATAAACCGTTGCAATTGTTGTTTATTAAAGAACGACTATTTTATGAAATATAGCAACGGTTCTTAGCTGTAGCCTATTCTAAACCGTTCTAATAGAGGCTTAAGTTCAATTTTTCTTCATAGGTTATAACAACGCCTTCTTTACTACAGACACACTTTGTAACTGTTGCAAAAAAATTTATTTTATTTTATAAACCAAATAAATTTATTTATTTTTTAATAAAATAAATTTTTATTATATTTTATAAACCTGATAATAACATCATTCACAATTTTTTTATATAATAATATTCAAATACAAAACATCTTCAAATTGAAAATGATCCAACAACAAAACATCTTCAAATTACATATCGTAATGTCAACAAAACATCTTCAAATTACATATCGATCCCAATGTCAATCATCATTCATAGTCAAAATAACATCTTTAATCTATAAAATTAAACTTAAACATCTACATCTATATTTCTTCATCTTCAAATTCAAAATCTTCATTGATATTATCATTCATGACCTGCAAAATAAAAATAATATAACTTAAATAAGATTATTATTCGAAGGATCAAAAATAAAATAATCCACTCCAAGTAACACACATATCCAACACTTAGAATCCATACATACACATTTACAATATACAAACCAACCATCCAATTTCATTCATATCACTTTAACACACCAATACACTATTTATATGTTAACTAACACTACAACATAACTAATCAATTAGGATTTCAATTAGCATAACTTATTAACTAACAACATAACAGTTCTACCAGTTCTACTACTAGTTCTACCAGTTCTACTAACAGTTCTACATACAAAGTCCTCGTTTTCTTACCTATTTCCATCAGCATTATACATCAGTTTTGTGCAATACCGTCCCGGAGTGTTGTACTCAAGCTGGAAGTTCTTGCCATAATACACCCAAGCACGAATTTTCCCATCAATCAAAGTTGATAATATAAACTGCAACAACATGATATCATAACAACCTTGCCAACCATTCACGATACCGTATTCAACGAAGAAGAACTAAACAAACAGCGACAGAAGAATTTAACCTGGATATTTTCCTTTGCGTGAGGAAGAACTGAATGAACAAGTGCTTCATGACCTTCGAAGATAAAGATCATATGTCCATCCAAATCCCATACCTGCATGTATCACTCTTCAATTAGCAAAAATTCAAGTTACATTCAAATAGAATTTATTCTAGACTAGAAACTTCTGTCACCTTAATTAACATATCATCGCCACAAGTTACCATACATAGTCTACTGTTTGGATATGAAAATGACAAGTCATTAACACTACCATCATGAGCATCAATCTGTAATAATGAAAAAAAGACACTATTGATCATGAATTGCGAATAAAAATTTTATTCGATTCGTATGAAGAATTTGATGTGAAAGTACCTCCAAATGCTCTTGTAGACCATTAGGAATGTTATAGCTATACAAATGAACCAAATGTTTTGCATAAGCAACCCCTGAAATGAAAGGAAATATATATTATAAGCTAGTTATCAAGCAACAAAATCGAAAAATATTATTACAATCTTTACCAAGTAAACCCGCACTCGGGTTCCATGCTACTCGATTGACAGGCGATTGTTTCAAAATCAACGCCTGTACAAAAGACCACGTTAATTTATTTTTGTATAGAGAATTCTTTGAACATATATTCATGATCCATATGCATTAATGAAGTTGAGTAATTCGAGATAAACCTGAAATTCGACCGAACAATTCGAAATATCCCATATTTTGAAAGGCTTTGATACAAGCCTCTCTCGCAGACTTGCTTCCCAAAGTGAAACTTCACCGTTTATGCTACCAACTATTTCATTGAAATTCTCTAGGTTATTAGAAAGACTAATTAAGTTTCTGCGTAATATACAGACAATGTTGATTATTTTAACCTACCAGCTAGTATTGAATGAATGAAAGGATGAAACTCCATGCTTGTCACAGTTGATCCCTGATGTAACTTACAAACTCAATAGTATTCGGTGTTTCTGAATGCATCGGAATGGAGACTGCAAGAAATTGACAATAGAAAGATTATAATAGTTCTTCATCTACTATAGTCATTATATCAATGTAAAACCATTTTACATTGACACAGGGCATCTGTATTAAACTTTATGCGACAAAAAACCGATGAAGATATACCTTGAGTTGAAGGACCAAGCAATAAGGAAGCTTTGATCTCAGCTGGTGATTGAGAAAACGGCAAAGGATTTGCATTCAGCGGCAATGTTGTCACAACATTAGGAGTAGGAATTGCAATGGTAGGCGAAGGATTTGCATTCAGCGGCAATGTTGCAACAACATTAGGAGTAGGAACCGCAAAATTAAGTACTAATAAGTTGAAATGCAACAAGCAAATAACAGTTTTATCAATGAACATGAAAATATCTTAATATTCTGTTTTTTCATTGAACAGTTTTATCAATGAACAGTTTTATCAAAGAACAGTTATATCTCAGTAGTGGTTATGAAATGCCAATAATATCTTAATATTCTGTTTTTTTTCTTCTCGTTCTGTTATATTTTATTCTGTTGATAAAGTTTATCTCCTATTTTAGAGTATCTAACTTTTCTATTTAATAAACATCTTGACCATCTTTGGAGTTCAGCCAAGTCAACCTTTCTTCAATCCTCTACAGTGAACAGGCAATATTTTCTCAGATAAATTCAGATATGCAAAGCTCTCAAAACATTGAAGAAACCTAAATGTAAAATTTTATGCACTGGGGGTTTTCTTATTCTCCACAAATCATCCCCATAAAATAACACCCACATACAATTTCTTGTCTGCATCAATAAGTCAATCGAAGGAAAAAAGGAACAAAAAATAGGTAAATTTCAGTGTAAATGTTTAACTCACACCCTAAGCAAACAGGCTTGAACAGAGTTCTCTACATCTTTATTGACCAATGGATCAATTAATCGGTTGTCAGAGCTTGTTTGACTTCTTCTGCCCCTGCAAGGCGCTGCATGTTTTATGGATAATGAAAAGTGGTGAATCATCATCAATGTGTATGTTAGGAACCCAATGTATGTTCTATTGCATTGTAATGACACTACATGGGTTTTGTTATTATACTATGTGCTAATGTGCGGAGACAGAGATTAAGAGGGATAAAGAGCAAAAGTTAGTTCTCACTCTCATATGCATTGGTCCTTTATCTGATGGCTGCAGAATGTAATAACAATGATAAGGAGCCTCTGTAATTGTTTCTAAATCACAATTTGAAGAGCATATCAAACCCTGGTCCATTGAATGTAGAACACTAGAAAGGCCTTGAAAAACTGTCAAATCATAGCCATGTTAGGAAAAATGATAAACTTTGAAGAATTTGACCAATAAAAATTGAACAGCAACAATTCAGGACTAATGACAATGACATGGGTGATAGAACTTCAAAGAAGAAGGATCCTACTACTCACGTTGAGCATTCATGTCTGACTGATCAGCGTCATCGGAATTGGTTTCGATCACGTGATAAGAAGATGCAGTCACGACAAATGAAGCCCCCAATATTAGACCTGCATTAAAACTCAAAAATCAGAAAACCAATTTTTTGTAGAAAACCAGAGAGGTTAAGAACAAGACGTTGGGTGCACCAATATTGCTTAATCAGTCTCAGTAGCCCATCATAAAGACAATAATTAAAAATCGTTCTGGTCGCCATTGAAGTAAATTTATAACATTGTTCAGTCTCTGCTACCGAAAATCACAACCTGAGGTTCAATATTGGGTTCTACAAGAGATTGATTTTGACAACCAAGTGCACTTCTCAATTTAGCAGATTCTTCAAACTTTTTATCAACAAATTGTGTATGTGGTGTCTGAACATCACAATTCGGGTGAAGTCCAACAACCACTATGCTCTCAAACAGTTGCGACGACTTCTTAAAAGACCTATGACCCTGTGAAACCAATAAAAGCGGGTGTATGAAAACAGTAAAGATACGACTCGCATACTGATAAATAAGG